CCCTCCCTTTTTTCAATTAAAATAGATAATCTAGCGTTGTCAATTAGTTTTAAGTGGGAAATGAAATTAATGTACTATGGAAGAAGAACAGACCCCAAACTTTTCATGTTTTACATTCAAATTTTTAGTAGATCTATGCCAAACAAAAGTTTCCGATAAAGTCGGAGGTAAAAATCACTAAAACAAATGAATATATCTTATTCCTACTTTGCCCAACAGATGTGTGAAAGGCAATTTTGTAAGTCAGAAACGTGTTTTATCTATGGCGAGAAGGAGAAGTATACCAAAACGGTTATAACGTCAAAAGGAATAAGAAGCGAGTTCAATTTTATTCGTTTTGAAACCGAGTCAGCTAATGAATCGTTTTGAAACCGAGTCAGCTAATGAATCGTTTTGAAACCGAGTCAGCTAATGAATCGTATTGAAACTGAGTCAGCTAATGAATCGTTTTGATACCGAGGCAGCTAATGAATCGTTTTCAAACCGAGTCAGCTAATGAATCATTTTCAAACCAAGTCAGCTAATGAATCGGTTTCAAACCGAGTCGGCTAATGAATCGTTATGGAATGGAGTTAGTTCACTCGGTGCTGAGGGGGATGACCTATCTAGACTGCCCTTTGACAGTCCGCTACTACACGATACACAACGAACAGCAGTGCCAAATTCAGTTTCGTGCTCAAAAGAATATTTTCCAGAAGTGATTTTTTTTCCCCCTCTTCATCTTCATAGATCACGTTTGCCACTTCAGACTATAAATAAAATGACTACTAGATTCCATTTCCTGCAATCAGATTTTATGTTAAATAGCTTTGATAGTAGATCTAGTTTTGTTGGAAAGGAGTTTATCAGTTGGTTGGAGCAGAAACACGACACCGCATATTATTTAAACAAAGAAAAAAACTGTTTTAAAATGGAGGTTGCTAAAGTGATTTCTTGGAAAAGTAAGGGCAGTAGAAGAACCCGTGGGGGAAATCCAACAATAAGCCCCCCCCCCCACCCCAGCGAAAAACGATTCATTTATTCGGTTATTCGGATTTTTAGAGAAACAGGTACCTAGTTATTAGGTTTTTTGAAAAGCGAATAATGCCCAGGCCTACTAATCTATGATATAGAAGGGTTAGGGTTAAGTTGTTGGGGCTGTCACTCCTTACAAAAGTCGTTCCCAATTATTTTGGGGAAGAATTCTGTAACGAGCGACCGCTAAGCATGAAATAGTCTTGAGTAGAATACAGGGTTAAAGACAAGGGCAGGGGTAGGGGTTGGGTTAGGGATTTGGTCAGGGTTATGATTAGGTGTCTGTAACAAGATCACTGGTTCTTACCTCTACACACGTTAGGTCACAAAGATATGCTTAGACTGCCTCCTGAATCCCTTTGCAAGAAATTTCATAGTCCGCCAAAATTAATCACCAGCCGGTGTCTAACCTGACTAACCACAACCTTCTGAGCAAAAGGTACACGGTACTCGCTGCGGTAATCCCGCTTCTCGCAAGAGTGAGTTCTCGCTCAAACTTTCTCACACACCGCAAACATGTCAACATAATACGCACATTGCCGAATTTATCCCAAAACAACCTACAGTCTCTTCTTTATTGTGTTTTTTGGGGTGGTTGTTTGTTTCGGAAGTCCTTCCTTTTTTTGGAGTAGGCTACCGAACAACATGTAGGGCCTATAGACAGACTGAAAAATCTAGTTTTAGATAATAGGAGCTACTGGGCCTCTTGCTTCCACAGTACAGCAGGATCAGAAACTTGAGAAAATACACCTTGAACTTGAGGTGTTTGACCGTCTAACTGTAACAAAAAAACCATGTCCTTTTTTTCCACATTGTGCATGATTAATTGAACAACATAGAGGTCTATAATTGTCTAGATACAAATGAAGTTTTGTATCTTGTTCTGCGTCATTTCTCAAACGCATAAAAAGTCTTTATGGCCTTCTGCTTCTTAAGAATAGACAGGTTGTAAACAAGATAGATCCCAGTTGTCGTTTATACTTGTGTACAAATATCCTCTCCTTTTTAGTGTGAGCAAAGTGTGATGTGAAGCTGTAAGTGCAATCAAGGCTTACTACTGTAGAACAGAACTGGTAGCCTTCATTCCATCCTCTACAATATTCAGTCATATTAAATTTCATCATGGTGGGTGGTTGGCGGGTGTTCTGGTGTGGTTTGCTCCTTTCCTTCTTTCAAACATCTATCGTCTTTATCTCTCCTTCTTCTTTTTTATGTTTGTTACTTCTCTTGTAACACCTCTAATCTTCTGGCGCTCATATGGCCTTGTGCAGTTGCAAGCGCCTTACAACCTCTTTTAAAACTAAAATATCATAAGATCATTCAGTCATTCATTGACTCCCATCATTCCTCCCATCTGGGGGCCTTCATGATTAATTGCGTCTTTAACCCTCTCCGTACGTCATGTTTTACTATCGTATGCATACGATGTGGGGAACTCGATGTGCCATCACTTTCTAAAGAGGAAATTTACTTGTTAGTCCAATCCGTATGCTCTGCATAGCAGTCTGTCAAAATGATTTTTTGAGAAATACTGAAAGTTTCAAAGAGATCTTCGCACTAGAAGTATTCTAAAATGTGAAGAATACAACCCCGGGGCTACAAAATGACCCCTGGGCGTACGGATATGGTTAAATCAGTTACATTCAATATTTATATAATGCATTGGTTGAATGACTTTTAAAACATGCTGTGGTACCACACTTACATTGACTCATAGTATGATATGAGTATAAGATAACCTGTAATTCTAAGAAGATGTGAAGATTGTTTTGAGATACACAGTATTACTGAAAATACCGAATGGCCTTGAACTTCATTTCCATCACAAATTATATTTTATAAAATGTAGAGATACATGATAATTAATCTGGGTTTTTTCCTTGATCATTATTTAACTCATTTAGAAGCTAATGCAAACGACCACTGTGCATGTAGAGCTTAGTCCTGAATGAATTAAACAATTTTTTTTTATGTAAGTTATTTGGAAACTTTAAGTTACTTTGTCAGAATTTATCCTTGAGTGCTATTAAATGGTTTCATTATTTTGTCATCAGATAAACAATGGGGAAACGGAAAGCACAAGGAGGAGATGATTTGGATGGAGATCAGTCCGTCCCTCTGCCCATACAGACATTTTTCTGGAGGCAAACAAGGTAGGACTGTGTACTATTAATTTTATTTGTGTCACAATTATTATTTTTCAGGATAGGGTGCAGATGGACAATGAATGCAATGTAGGATTTAGCCTAATGCATGGCTCTCAAAGCCATATAGGAAAAAAAGTCTGCTCAAGGGCGATCATTAGTAAGGTTGTTCAGTATTCATTCCAGAGATTTTTGAGCTTTTTAAAAATTAGGCTACATTCACTGTATTCAACGACTATTGGAGTTAATAAAATTGCACTTCTAACCTAACTAAATCTATTCTGTTTTTGGTTTTTTCTTTTACAGCCCCTTTATTAGACCGAAGCAAGGAAAACTATGTGAGGCTTCCTGTGTGGTAAGGACATTAGAGGGATTTTAAAAAAGTACTTCTATTTTGGTCAAATTAGTGTTAAAAATTCCTTGAACAGATGTTGAAATTATCTCAATTGTTTTTGCCACCTGTGTCAGTCTGTCTTTATTTCTGGTTTATAATCTTTTTTTTGGTAAATTTTTGTTGTCTCTTTGAAATGCTAATATGTATTTGAGTTAGAAGTTTGTACCCATATCTGGAAAGGTTGAAGACTGAAAATACTACTACTCTAAACCGAATATATTGCATTTATTTGGAGAGATGAAAAAACAGGCCTTCTCTACTACTGTAACTCTTCTCAGTTTTAGACCTTAAGTAACAGTGATCTGTTTATTTCAGTTGTATTTCTGACCAATGAATCGTATGGAAGGATCCCTTTCCATGGGTGGTGTCGGTATCCAAGTGGTTAAGCTACCGGACTCGTAATCGTGGTAATCATGAGATTACGGGATCAGGGGTTCGAGCCTCATCTCGGTCCAATGTTGTGTCCTTGGAAAAGGCACTTTACACGAACTTCCAACTTGGCTCGGTCATATCGGAGACGGACGTCATGAACTTCCAACTTGGCTCGGTCATATTGTAGACGGACGTTAAACTAGGAGGTCCCGCCCCTTAAATAACCTAATAGTGTTGATAGGGGTGTTAAACCCTTACCATTTCACCATTTTCACCCTTTCCATGGCTGGGTTAAGGGTGCAGGTCCTGCTCCTCCCACCAAGAGGGGGCCTCCTACCAATATATATAGGAGCATCAAGTCAGATACACTGTGTGAATTGGACTTCAGTGACATCATCAGCGACTTAACTGTACGCCTATAAAATTTGAGAAAAGTGTTGGGACTGTAATGGTTACAAATGCGTCCATTCCCTAATTTGAACTATCTTTTCTTGTTAGTTACAAGATTTTTTCATGAAAACTTAAATAATTTTAACTTAATTAACTCTGTGTAAATAAATTTGGTAAGAACAACTTGTGTTCATTTCATTTTCAGTTCGATTTATTTATATATTCATCACATATTACAACAATGGAAGAATATTCCTTGCTTAGTATTTCCCAACTAAAAATGTCCTATTCATATATTAGGATTTAGGTTACTAGTCTATGGTGTATGCGATAGGGGGAGTTGGATAGGGGACATCCCTTCCAAGCGGGCCTCAGGCCTCCCACATGCTTAATCTAGCCCTGTCACTTCCTCATTCTTCAGTTGTATGAACAAGCAATTTCTGAACAGTTAGTTGTAATTGTATTGTAATAACTTTTTTCCCCTCTGTCTTCAGTCATTTGAAAGAGTGGTGGTCCAGAATATTCTGCATGGCCTGTCTCCCAGTTTGTGTGAGGCGGTCCAGAGTGTGTCCAGATGGAAAGTGGTACAAGCGGCCTTCCCACATCTCATGCATGCCTGCTCCTCCCTTATTGCAGCCTGCAAACAGGTCTGTTAAAATGTGTTTGTGTGGTTTTTTTTGGTTTTCAATAGTAGATTAGTTTCTATTCTTCATTAATTTTGATCTGCTTTGTTTCTTTGTTTTCACATTTTAAGATAATTGGTGTAATAGTTGGCGTGAATGCATTTTGAAATTATTTTATTTAAATAAAAAACTGGTGAGTTAGTACCACCCATCTGAAAGTTGTGACCGCAGCATGAATAATATTTTATTCGTTACAATGGCATCTGTTGTCTTTTTTTTTATCCCCAGGGTAACCCAGACAATCGTTTTGGTCCGAGTGAGACGAAGCTGCTGTACACGTTGCACTGGATCATTCTAGACGCGGCCTCAGAGTGTGAAGATGCCGATGCCGAGTTCATGGCATTGCGGGATCGAACTGGACCCTCCACGCACATGCACGCCCTGAGCACTGTGCAGCTGTTTGTGTACCTTTTTGCACCACTGGTGCACCTTCTCAAAGTGAGTTCTCAGATAATATATTGTGTTATCTTCATACAATTTTTTTTTTATAGTGGCTGAAATGGGAGTAAAGACACAGCATTAATAGTACTTGGTAGAGTACATATTTCTTTCTGTTTTTCTTCATCTATATATCTCTCTCTTTCTCTGTTTCTCTTCCTGTTTCTTTATTTCTCTCTCTCTCTCTCTCTCATTCTCTCTCTCTCATTCTCTCTCTCTCTCTCTCTCTCTCT